AAATATATGAGACTATTGAGTTTGGGTAGGATTTCTTAAAGAATTTCTTTTAATGAGTGGTGCCTGGTTGGCTCACTCATTTAAGCAGCTGCCTTCAGCTCAGGTCAGATTCCTGGGATGTAACCCCAGAGCCCTATGTCCAACTCTCTGCTCAGCAGGTCTTCAGCTTCTCCCTCTCCTTCTGCCTCTCCCCTGCTCATGTGCACGTGGTCACTCTCTCTCAAATAAATAAATAAAATCTTTAAATAAAATTATTGTTTTAATGCACAAACTGAAAAGGAAAACATTTATAAATCAGACTCCACAAGAATTTAAGGCAGTTATACTATAAAAGTCACTATAAAATAAAAGGATAAGAACAGAAGATACTAGCAATAAATATAATAAAGATATTATATGTAGAATTTATAAATAGCCAGCAATTCACTCCTGGATATATGCTGGAGAAATTCTCACATTTTGGTATATTTTAGTATAAAGTATATTTTAGTATAAAATATAGGGAAGTGTTCAGTAATATCTTTTCCATTCTTGGTTATTATAAATAAATATCCATTAATTTAAAGAATGGACAAGTGAATTGTGGTTTAGAACACTATATAGCAGTTAAAATAAATGAATCACAGGTGTATCTATCAAATAGGTGATATAAAAAATTTAATGCTCAATGAACAAAGCCAAGTTTCAGGAATACCTACAGTAAAATGCTAAACACTTTTTTTTTTTTTAAGATTTTTTTTTTAAAGATTTTTTTTTTAATTTAATTTTATTTTTTTTTTTATTTGACAGACAGATCACAAGTAGGCAGAGAGGCAGGCAGAGAGAGACAGGAGGAGGAGGCAGGCTACCCGCCGAGCAGAGAGCCCGATACGGGACTCGATCCCAGGACCCTGAGATCACAACCCGAGCTGAAGGCAGAGGCTTTAACCACTGAGCCACACAGGTGCCCCAAAATGCTAAACACTTTTAAGTGTGCAAAATTCTGTTAAGTATACTTTGGATATCTTTATGTCTACTTTTATAATGAATATGAGGAACTCCAAATTCAGGCCAGTCATTACCTTTAGTGAGAGACGAAATCAAATAGGATCAAGGAAGAATACATTGATACTTCAATTATAATATTTTATTTTCTAAAAAATCAAATAAAAAACAAAAGGTCAGTACTAAATATGATAAATGCTAAATATCACAAGTCTGTGTGGTGCGTATTAGGATAGGAGTAATAATGGTCTCTATTCTCTTTATGTTTAAAATATCTTGTAATTTTTAAAAATTTCTTCTCTGGGACACCTGGGTGGCTCAGTGGGTTAAGCCTCTGCCTTCGGCTCGGGTCATGATCCCAGGGTCCTGGGATCGAGCCCCATGTCGGGCTCTCTGCTCAGCAGGGAGCCTGCTTCCCTTCCTCTCTCTCTCTCTGCCTGCCTCTCTGCCTACTTGTGATCTCTGTCTGTCAAATAAATAAATAAAATCTTAAAAAAAATAAAAATAAAAATTTCTTCTCAGTGTTCCAGAATTCATTGTTTATGCACCACACTAAATATCTTGTAATTTTTAATAAATTAAAAGGGAAGGGAGGTTAAATGACTGAATTCCTTTCCCTTGCCCAGAAAATCATGACACCCCAATCCCGCCCCAAGCAGAGTCTGTAATACTATTGGTAGAACATCATGCTGCAATGGGCTGTATTTTGTATGACCTCCATAAGTAACCACTATGACATTGTGCTGTTTCCTTGGAAAAATGACTGCTGAGTTTCAGATGACATAGTTCTATGCCATGATAAATTGAGGATTGTGTGCTATTATAATTTTTTTTCTGGTACACATGCCATCTTCCTTTATGGAGAAGGAGACAGTGACTGGTAAAGCAGCTGACACAGCTGAGTCAGAAGAGTGTCATCAAGGACTATCTAGGAATTATGACCCATTCAACATCTTGATGATGGTTTTGAGTTACTAGAGCTACTGAGGGACATTCTGAACCATCATCAGAAGATAGAATATTGCTTGGTATTGTTTTGTAGCAAGTATTATCAATTCCAAAGATTTAAAACAGAATTCAGTGAAGTTGTATATTTACTTGACCCTTTCTTCATCCATTCTGCCTGATGTTCATTGGAATAAGTCATTGAACCCCAAAAGACCCCAAGCAAACTCTGTACTGTTCCTCACAGGTCCACGTCCCTGGGCACAGCCTTGACTCTGGACACTGAAAAGTAAACACATTTTCACTGCTGAGGAAAAGTTCCCTTTGAGCTGGAACAATCAACAACATTTCCCTTCTTTTGGTTACATGCCCTCAGACTGCATTGTTTATCAAATAATTATTTTCCCCTTTTGTCATACACGTATCATTCAGCTTCAGTGATGGAGGTTTGGTCGTAAATGACCTTTCTTGTAATTAGAAAGTGACCTGTAACAAGATAAAGATGGAAATTGCACTTTGGGAAATCAGCAGGTCTCTGTTTGCAAGATTAACTCAATGTCCACTGCCATAACCGAGGGAAGAATTATCAGAGCAGTTCAGTGACTGGATTGGACTTCCATAGGAATCATGGAGCTGTACAGCTGTGGAAACACAAATTCCATGCCCCCCCCCACCCATTGCTGGTTTTCTGACAGCTTTCTCAGCAGAGCAGTTTGAAGAGTGGAGAGGCCTGTTTTCTGAGACAGAGAAGTGTTTTCACACCTAAAGTGTAATTTCACACCTTGTGTTTCTCAGCAGATAAGTGAATAAAATAACACATCAAACCGGAATAGAAAAAGATCAACATAGAAAGAAAACTGCAGGTTGTAATTTGTTTCCCATCTTACAATGCTCTTGTAGAGAACAGTAAATTACAGAGATCTGGATTTACACTTTTAAAAGTTTGACTGGTTGTTAGGTGGGAAAGTGAGCAGTAAACACTAATCAGCTTTCAGCCAGCATTGAACAAAAATGTACAGAATGATAGAATCTGGGGAACACCCTAACACTTGGATTTTCTTTTTTAAAGGATAGGACACATATAAGTTAGTGCTAAAAATTGTCATTAAGAGAGGATTAAGAAATTGATGAATTATGTGATTTTAATAAAAATACAATTTTCTTTGGGATAATTTTCTTTGTAATTGTCTATTTGGGAATTTTAGCAGAAATAGTAGACTATGTTAGTAAAATTTGGATCATTTTTTCCTTTCTATAAATTGCTAAACATGTGAGGCTAGTCCCATTTTATAGCATTCCAGTGCAAGGGTGATAAAACCAAGGGGTTTAATCTTCATTTTAGAAGTTTGAAAACCCAAAACCTAAAGAAAAAAGAAGGTCAGGCCTGCTGGAGAGTCATGTACATTTGTTACAAAATGTTTAATATGTACTGAATGTCTACCATGTGTTAGACACTAGGCCAGGAACCAGGGGTATAGCTGTAAACAAGGCAATTCCTCTTTCAAACTGATAGCCTTGTTGATGAGCAAGCAGGTGATGATAATGCCGGGTGCTAAGTCCTGGGATAACCTGAAGCTAGATTTTGATGGTGCCCACAGAAGGGTTTTCTGAACCAGAGCTGGTCAGGACAGGAGCAAGTGGTCAGCAAAAATTCCTGGATAAACCCAAATCCAGACCTAACTAACGAATAGAAATCATGGGAAGGTGGATATCACTTGTGGTATCAGAGCATGTACAGTCTGTGTAGAAATGAAAGGGAAAGAGAAGTGTGGGTCAGAGGGAGGTCAATGTAGGGGAAATGCAGCTTATAAGGGCGACAGTGGTACAGTGAAACTGGGAGGTAGAAGGATCAGAGTACGTCACCCATACCAAGAAATTTTGGTCTTGCCCTGAGATTAGTGGACAGCATTGAACATTTAGGCTTTGTCTCTTAGTGAGAGTGACATAAGCAGATTTGCATTTTCAGAGTTCCCTCTGACTGTGGGATTGGGCAGCCTGGTGATGGGAGAGGAGACCTGTCCTAAGTCAGGTGAGAGAGGCTGGTGACTGGAGCTTGCCTGTGCACTGAGTTCAGTACCTTCAGAGATGGAAAGACGTGAGCAGAGTTGGGAGCTATTTAGGACATAAAATCAACAGAACTTGGTGATTGATTGGCCAGACTAGGGGTGAGGAGCCAGTCTTGTCAGAAATGTCGTCCTCACTCCTGATTTAGGTAAACTGAGTGGAGGACGCTACTATTTGAAGAGATGGGGGATACTGGAGAAGCAAGTCTTAAGAGTTGGAGACATGATGAGTGAGACGAGTGCAGGATGTCCATGGGAAAAATTATGGTGTTGAGCTGTATCTTGAGCTTGGAGGAGAAGTCCAGGCCAGAGATAAAGGTTTGGTACTTGTCATTTAGTGGATAAGATGGTCCAAAGAAGGGGCGCTTGGGTGGCTCAGTGGATTAAGCTGCTGCCTTCAGCTCAGGTAATGATCTCAGGGTCCTGGGATTGAGCTCCGCATTGGGCTCTCTGCTCAGTGGGGAGCCTGCTTCCTCCTCTCTCTCTGCCTGCCTCTCTGCCTGCTTGTGATCTCTCTCTCTGTCAAATAAATAAATAAAATCTTAAAAAAAAAAAGATGGTCCAAAGAATATGTAGAGAGTAAGAAGAGGAAATACTCTTTAATCTAGGCATAAAACAGTATTTTGATTGTGAAAAGGAAAATACACATAGAACAAAAGGTTTTTATTGCTTTTTACATAAATAAAATGTGGCTGAAGAACCACACTTGGCTAAACACACCGTCGCACGCATGTTTACGCGTGTATACTCCTCTGTGCGGGTAGACCTTCTAGTGAGCGTCAGCAAGGTGCCTGTAGTGGGCTGCATGAAACATTAACCATCGACGGTAATAATCCCTTTCCTTAATACTTCCTGGAAAATATGTTAGTCCTAAAGCAAATACCAGGCCTAAGGATGCTGCCCAGAATGTTAAAAAGGAAAAAATCTGAAGCCCATGTAAATACTATGACGAAACTAGCAACACAGAAAGCTCTGATGTTTTCTCATTTCTGTTGTTTTTTTCAATAGATACATATGGAAAGCTCTTCCTCCTCAATTCTGTTGGTCAAGAGATGTCCCGCTGTAAGACGTCCATTCGACGTGGTCAGCCCAATCCTGTCTACAAGGAGACCTTTGTTTTCCAGGTGGCCCTCTTTCAGCTCTCTGATGTCACACTGATGATTTCCATTTATAACAGGCGTACTATGAAGCGTAAAGAGATGATCGGTTGGATTGCTCTGGGCCAAAACAGTAGCGGAGAAGAGGAACAAGACCATTGGGAGGAAATGAAGGAAACCAAAGGCCAGCAAATATGCAGATGGCACACCTTGCTCGAATCCTAGTTTGGGCAACAGGATTTGCATGTGACATCTGCCCTGGCGACCAGTGTTTTGACCACTGACACCAACTCAGCACAGGCTGGTAGGCGTTTTTAAAGATAGGCTTACAATTAGAGTCTACTAAACACTGGGACATTCTGGGCAGGATCATTTGGGTCTCTCAAAGGTTTGATTTGGATTCAGATATTATAATTTAAAAAAAACCACATACATGGTCAAGTGTACTTTATGGGAAATTAACCGTCGTGGAGAACAGTGATAATGAGTTAATTTGTATTAATAGATTATTGAGTCTGGGTTCAACCTGTGGAATGAAGCTTCTCTTGCTGTCTCTGTTTGCTTGAAGAGTAACCTGAGATCACAAGGGAGCGGTTGAATCTCACTATTTGTAGCCAGGTATGTGTATGAATCAGAATTTTGTTAATATGGTGCCAAACCCTCCCCACTATGGAAATGAATCTCATACCAAGGCTCATAAGAGAGTGTAACTGTCATCCATAAGCCCCTTTTTTCATTTTTCTTTCTATGAACGAAACTCTTCATTTATTTACTTAAAAATAATTGTTCTAAACTCATACTTATAAAACAAATTTGTATTCATTAAATACCTTTCTTTATCTCAATTACATATTGTGGTTTCCTGTGAGGTTTGATTAGATGAATCATTTTGAAGGTAAAACAGAGTTGAAAAACACTGTTGAAAGACATCTTGTCTCCTTTTAATATGTAAGATTTCCAACTTGTAATTTTCAAGGTTGTATGCTATTTTTCTCACCTAATAAATTCTTACAGAATTAGAAGAAACCAAAAAAAAAAAAAAACCTACTTAAGTCATGGATTTGTTGATTTTCTAAATTGAGAGTTCTCCTTTAGATTGTACTTTTTCTATATTCACTGATATATACTCATAAATATATTTTGAATGTACACTTGCATGTAAACCATATTCTTTTTTATGCAGTTATTTTCCATCACTAGAGCATAGTAAATTATATACAATATGTCCTTAATAAATGTTGATTTAATTGACTCTTAGAAATGAACATGTTATGATACCTATGAATGAAGAAATATTTTCAGCTTGTATGAAATGACACCAAGTTCTTTCTTTCTTTTTTCTTTTTTTTTTTTTTTTTTGAGCATTTAAGTGCCTATAATTGTCATTTTCCATGACATTTGCAGCTGCCTGTATTAGTCACTACTTGCCTTCTGGGCATGTGCCATTCAGAACACTGATCTTGTACGGTGATAAGCATGAAATTGTATCTCCGACTGACTTTTACATATTTGTGCCATGCATGTTTATTTTTCTTTTGCTTACATGTGAGTCCTTAATAATAATTACCTGAAATTGTCAGTGAAAAAAAAAAAAAGATGGGAAAGGAATGTGTGTCCATCTAACACTGTACCTAATGTGCAGCTCTTCTGAGCAATTGCTCAGTCACTTATTTTTAGCTTTTATGTTTCATTGTTGACTTTTTGCTGTCTGTGGGAAGAGTGATAGCTAGTGATGGATGTATACAGTTAAAAACACAGAACTCCTCCTCAGCTCTGCATTTGACAGATTGTAGACGTAGGCTGTAACACTTGAAGAACATATTTATTCCTTACCATGCAGTGTGTAATGGTTATCCTGACAAGAAGAGACTAGAGCACAGGATAATTCTTCTGTGATTTCAAGTACCCAATTTTGAAAGAAATGACTTCCTATGGAAGAATCAGAATTAGCAAAATAAATTAATATCTTAATTTCTTTTTAGGTCATGGGAGTTTCATCTATAACACTGCTCAGTTATTGGGAGTAAGTAATAAAACCATGTTCCTTTGGGTTTTTACCCTACCTTTCTTTGGAAGACCTCAAAGTGCTTTTCCAACATTATATCCATTAACTGCTGAGTGGTCTTTGCAGTGTGGCTGTGTCATTGAGTAGAACTGAGTGCAATTGATTAAGTAGCGGCACAAAGAATTGGCTTTTCACATCCCTTACCCTCTTTATGTGCTTGTGTTTAAAGGGAAGTAGAGCAGCCTTGTTATGCTTTCCTTTATGCAGTAACATAAAAGCAGCATTCACTTTAAAATTTACATTTGAAAAAAAAAACCTGCACATATTGTACTGACCATCCTGGATTTTTTTCCCCCTCATATTTTCCTGCTCTATGTTTTGCTACATCCCTTGTCGTATGGCGCCCAGTCATCACCTATGCTCCATTTTCTGCTGCTTTAACCCACCCATTTTTTAGGGTTTTCTGCTGGTACAGTGAGGCTGTCCTTGTGGGTTTGATCTGTTTTCCAGTAGTCTGCTTATGAGACTGTTAGAGGAATGTGCAGATTTTAAGGAACGAGATGCCTGAAAAGCATTTTTAATTTTTGTATAAATTTCCTATGTTGGTGCTATTCACCACGTAGGATGCATGTACCTCTTGAATATACAGCAATCTGAAGCGGACTGTATAAATATAAAATGCTAATGATAAGATACATTAAAATATGAGGCTGAATTTTTTTTTTACATTGATTTGAAATTCTGGTTTAGTAAGATCTTTTGATTTTGTACATTTCAGCTCCCTTTATTTGCTTGGCAACGTCTAGACACAATGCACTCAGCATGTTTTTCTTTTCACTGGAGCTCTTACATCTACATTTGCCTTTTAAGAGAGTTATGAAAGATAATTAGTTGGTTCAGCGGTAAATAAGCTCCTTTTGCCTATTTTATCTAGCTAATAATTAACATCTCACAGAGACATTTGAAATGGAAGAAGCACCAGTATTTGTTGCATGAGTAGTTCCTTCCGTGATTTTTCCCAAAGACAATGCTTTTTAAATAATGCCGTAGAGGGTAAATGAAGCACTAGGTTTATGGAAATCTGCTTGGTAGTGCGTCTTCTTTCAGGGCATTAATTTACACTGAATTGAGAAGTGCTGGTTTCGCCAATCACGGTGGTGGCCCTTGTGCTCCCTGCTCCCCTCTGACTATTGTTGAATTTGTAAATGGGCCATTCACCAGGCAGCCAGGCATCTGCTCTTGCTTCTCTCTCCTTCACTGGCTCCCTGTGTGATGCACAGTTGTTTGGGACCCTGTTTTTGCTGATGTAGCATAGCTGTGGAGGGAGGTCTTGCCTCCCTTAACAGTAGAAGAACTTGTACCACTGTCGGATGTATTGCGCTTGGCATCCACCTGTACAAAGTTCAAGAAAGAATCCTAACTGTGACTGCAAGGGGGCAAACAGAATATGCTACTGTGCTCTCATTCCCTCTCAGCACTGGGCCCTCTGCTCCTTCTTCAATGATAGTGACGGACTGAGCTTGAACACTGATGTCGTCTGTGGTACGAGATGCTGCAGGGAGAACCTCCCCTCTGCCTACGCAGCATAGGGACTTTCACAGTATTTTACAAATTGTTGGCATCTCTCAGTCAGTCTCGGTGCTCTATATTGTGGTTGTAGTAGGTGGTCTTATCTGAGAACCAAAATGCCTTTCTTCTCAAGTAACGCATCATTTAAGTTGAAACTAACCATCAGGTTATGTGAAAGTGCTCCTCTGATGGCCACTGAGTTTATGAAACTGATGGTTCACAATGCAGACATTGAGCTGTGGGGCTCCCAAAAGCTGGACTATCCTGTTGCAGCATAGAACTTAGTATGTTAAGATCAGAAAAGTGATAGAAGAGGATTATTTGTAGATGACATAAAACCAAATGGAGATACATGCTTTAACAATAAACAGGGCCAAAAATTAGCAAGCCAGGAAACAACATGTGTTGGAGGGGAAGTGGAGAAAGGGGACCCCTCTTACACTGTTGGTGGGAATGCAAGTTGGTGCAGCCACTTTGGAGAACAGTGTGGAGATTCCTCAAGAAATTAAAAATAGAGCATCCCTATGACCCTGCAATTGCACTACTGGGTATTTACCCCAAAGATACAGATGTAGTGAAAAGAAGGGCCATCTGTACCCCAATGTTTATAGCAGCAATGGCCACGGTCGCCAAACTGTGGAAAGAACCAAGATGCCCTTCAACGGACGAATGGATAAGGAAGATGTGGTCCATATACACTATGGAGTATTATGCCTCCATCAGAAAGGATGAATACCCAACTTTTGTAGCAACATGGACGGGACTGGAGGAGATTATGCTGAGTGAAATAAGTCAAGCAGAGAGAGTCAATTATCATATGGTTTCACTTATTTGTGGAGCATAACAAATAGCATGGAGGACAGGGGGAGTTGGAGAGGAGAAGGGAGTTCAGGGAAATTGGAAGGGAAAGTGTACCATGAGAGACTATGGACTCTGAAAAACAATCTGAGGGTTTTGAAGGGGCGGGAGGTGGGAGGTTGGGGGAACCAGGTGGTGGCTATTGGAGAGGGCACGGATTGCATGGAGCACTGGGTGTGGTGCAAAAACAATGAATACTGTTACGCTGAAAATAAAAAAATAAAAAAAAAAGAAATCTATGAAATATATTACTATCTTTCCAGAAGCAAACAAAACAAAACAAAACAAAAACAAAAACAAAAAACCAAAAAACAAAAAACAACAATAAACAGGGCCAGAAAACACAATGCAGTGTCTCCTCTTACATTAAGGGAACTGTGGCCAAAGTACATCCTATTCTATATGATTCACAGCAAGAACAAATGATAGATAATCCTGAAATGACAAAAATATAAAAAATCATTCATTTGTTCCAAAAAGGAAAGCTAGGCAGAACTATTAAAAAACAAACAAAAAAAACACAAATCATATAGCATGTGTATAGAAAAGTTAAAGAATAAATAAATATTGCTAGATCCTTTCAGCCTCCACTGGCATATATTCAGGAAGAGTGAAATAACAAACCAAAACACATTTCAGGTTAACTAGCTATTATTTTTTCACAACTTGTAGAATTCTGGAAAATCCTTACTGCTGAGGGAAATGAGACCCATCTAGTTGGATGAAGTTAGCAAAGGCTACAGGCTTCCCCTGGGTTTGGATGGAACTTCACTAGCTATGTGGCCTTTAAGAAAATTATTTACCCAGTCTGTGTCCCTGACTCTTCAACTGGAAAATGAAAGTTATACCTACCTCATCAAGTTTTTAAAGGACAATAACAGCATTGAGCCTGACATATAATAAGCATTCAATACCCCCCCATACTCAATCAAGAATAAAGCCTTTAAATTTGTTTCTCTGCCTAGTGGAAATAAGAGTAACATTAGAGAGAGA